AAAAACACTCATCTTCTTTCGTCATCATTTTCACGATTGATTGAAAATTGAATATCTCGCTGATAAAGATCAACAGATTTTTTGGAAAAAAATTAATTGAAATATTTGATCATCAAATGACTATAGTCGTCTCCAAAACCTATTACGAGTGGATGTACCTTCATCTGCAAAAAATAAAAACTATTAGTGAGTACAATTCTGAATTGTTCAGAATATGTTCAAAATTGACATTTTGTGGAGGAAAAAAATCATTAATGAAAATATGTTGGAGAAAACACTTTTCACCTTTCACGTTTCGAATGTGCTCCTGCAGCAGTAATATCGTGAGCGTAGTTTCAAAAAGTACTCAAAACGCATATCTTGTCTGCTTGTTGCTGAATAAAATAATGAACTACTGATGAAAAATCATGGGTTACTTCCAACTGGTTGTGTACCATTACCTGAAGTAAATGATACTGCATTGCCTAAAACAAATGCAATATTAAGACGTGGATGTGAACACGAATTTGAACGAGAACGCGGACGTGCACATAAAATAAACCGAAGACGAAATAATCAACAAACCTATCAGTAATAAAGGCAACAATTTCAAGTAGCACGAAAAAGTAACACGAAGAAAGTTGCTTTAGATGTGGAATGAAAGGGTATTGGGCACGTACTTGTCTACGGCAAAACATCTTGTGGATTTCTACAAAAAATCAATTAAGGAAAAGGAAAAAGTGGAGACAAATCTTGCTTATGATGGTGGTCTAATTGATATAACTTGATAAATATATTTTATACACTCATTTAGGCAATTACATTAGAATATTTGATAGTGATTTGGATGAGTTATAGCTTAATTATGTGTTAATTGTGTTTTTTTAGGTTGAACTCAATTGAAATTTGTGGAATTTGAAGAAAGAAGCGAAAAGGACAAAAATGAAATAAATCCAAAAATTGGGGATCAAAGCGTAAACATTTAATTGTTGATTCGGACCACAAAAACATTGATTGAAGATCATATATGATCAATTGGATGCAATTGGAAACCAACACAGTGAAATATTTCACAAATCAATTTTCAATCGAAAAAGTTGTACTCCGAATTTTTAGTCTCGAATTGAAACACATATTATGGATAGCAAACATTCAAATTAAAAAAAAATTATATTTCGAAATAATTGTATCCCTTTGAATTATTTTTCTAACACATTTTGAATTACATTAATCGAATATTTGTAGAGAGTTATAACCAAAATACCAAAAGCTGCTAAGAGACAAACCCAATCGAACTTGAAAATGCACGAACAATATATGGCTCACGCGATACGCTACTTTCCCCAACCTGAGAGTCATTTGGTTCAATGGCACGCATGCGGTGATTATGCCTATGCGCGAATGGGCTTTTTTCGCAGATGAATCGGCAGTTTCCTTTCACGATTCAAACTCTTTTAAACCCAAATTGGACGCGATTTTGACGTGTTTTTAGGTCTTATAAATACAAAATAAGGGCTACACATTAGAAAAAACCCTCACTTGTCTCTTCACACACAATAGTATCATCAAATTCATCAAGAACATTGGGCCAATTACAATATTTTGAGAGATATCAAACTTTAGTAATGAATTGAAGGTCAATTATATCAAGATTTTGAGGAATTCAACTTTTGACTTGAAGATTAATATCTTTTGAATTATTTCATGATCCAGGTGATATTTTTCTGTTATTCTCTCTTGTAATTTATATATTAGCATGTTATGTTAGATCTGTTTTTGTATCGGAAGAAGATGGACCCCATTTGTTATTTGTTAATTAAAGACTATTAGTTTAATTTGATTCTTGTGTTTTTTAATTAATTTTGCATACTCATTGTATTATTTAATTGATTGGTCACCAATTAGATAATTAATTGCTTATTGTAGTATTAAAAGACTCACAATATATTTAGAACGCAACAAAATTAACATATGTGCAATAGAAGTTATGAATAACTTTTGTCATGTGTACAATCATATAGATAATCTAAACTTTAATGCATTCTAATCATTCGAATTCGAGTTAGGAATATATTCGGATCGTCATTATAATAGATTTAATTTATCTTGAAAAATAAAATTGTATATCATAATTTTATTGATTGTCAGGATGCATGGACAGAGTTATATTACAAATCAAGAATTGAATTAAATAGCAATGAGCGAATTTGGAATCCAATACAATCATCCAAATTCGAAAAAAAACAAATTTTCACATATTTTTAGATTAATTTAGAATAATCATAAAAATCAAATCTGTTTTTTTCCATAATTCAAATTCTTTACAAAATTGGTAAACTTGAATTTGATTTATTCCTTGTGGGACGATACTCAGGGATGACAAAAAAGTTTGTCGGCTCGGGCTTGGCCAGGAAAAAGCCCGAGTCTGGCCCGGCTCGAAGGATTAGGCTGAGCCCCA